AGAAGCACCATAGCCATGCGCTGCTGGAGGGTGGCTCTGGTCCAGATCAAAACCTGTGGGAAATGGTTGGAATTACCCGGTTGTGAAGTCAAATATATTTAGAGTGACAGAGCGTCACCGTCGCAAGAGCATGGGCTGATCCTGAAATCGTGACTTTGGAGAGGTTTTCCCAGACTGGGATCTTTTACTGATCTCTGGCAGAACAGAAAAGACGTCGTTTAACTAAAGATCACTTTTTTCAGAGTGCATCCCATACCATTAAAGCTTCCCTGTGAAAAAAACCCACAACCTCCAGCCCACACGAGCATCCCGGTGAGTGGCTATTTTAAATCTAAAAGAAGCGATTTCAGGTAAGGCATGAAACGCTGCTGTTGGAGAGCAGGTAAAAAACAAACCCTCCCAGCAGAAGCGAAGCTGCCTGGCCCCAGCACACCCGGAGCACAATCCCCGCGACCGTCTGAAGACAGCTGCAGCGGCAACCCACGCCGGCTGGCTGGGTCTTCAGTTTAGCGTGTCCCAGAAACAGCTACAGATGGCAATTTGTATTAAGTTGTACAATTGAAAGCTACTTGTGTAAGAGGATTGCTTTTGGATACGTACGTTGAAAGATTTGCTTTAAGCACCAGGCAATTCAAGTGTAATTGCAGGAGCGGATCCTGCCCAAATCGCCCTCAGAGCAGCTTCCAGATGTCAGATGGACTCCAGGAGGGACAAGCGGGCAGGACACAGCCCTGGTTACCATCCTGCCTGGTACTTGGGGGTCGTGTTTTCCCTCTAGCCGCTGAGCAGGGGAAATAATGATTTTTCTAAGACATCTCAGCTGCCAATCCCCATGGGGATGCCGCAGCATCGGCCTCAGTGCAGGTCACCCACCTTGACCCTCTCAACTGTCCTCTCCTCCAAGCCCCAGGGGTGGTGGCCCCATCAGCCCCCTCTCCAGGGCTGCAAACCAGCCACCAGCACCCACTCAGGACAGACTTGCCCCGGAGCACGGTGGGGAGGATCAGGGAGAAGGACGGAAGGAGCGTGAGGACACAAGGAGAATCAGGATGGAGGGAGCACGGGGAGGACAAGGGAGAAGGCTGGAGGGAGCGCGGGGACACAGGGAGGATCAGGGAGAAGGCTGGAGGGAGCGCGGGGGGGAGCGCAGGGACACAGGGAGGACCAGGGAGAAGGCTGGAGGGAGTGCGGGGACACAGGGAGGATCAGGGAGAAGGCTGGAGGGAGCGCGGGGACACAGGGAGAGGCCTCTTACAGCACCAGCAAGTTATTTCAGCTGAGCCAAATGGCCCGTGGAGAAGCACTGTGTAATGGGGACAGCAGCGATTTGTGTGTCCCAAGGGGGCTGGGAGAAGAAATAGCGCTAATGCCGCAGCAGAGAGAAAACACGGAGAGAGTTTTCTTTAGGGCTCCCCTAGGATTTCCAAGGGAAGGCACTGTCAGGGTTTTATGGAGCATTTTACGTGAAGCGCTAATCACCACGGCAGCCGTTGAGGGCAGCAGCCCCAGCGTGGCGCGGGGGCCACCTCTCCCGGGGCAGCACCGGCTGCTACCAGGGCTCGCCGCGGGCGAGCAAGGGATTGGGGTGAACACTGGTGATTGATGGCTGCTTCATCTGTCAGGGAGGTGGGTGCAGGATGGAGGTGTCTGGCCCAGGAGTGAGGAATAGGTGCAGAAGAGCTGGCATCCATTGAGGGGAATATGGTGGACACAAAACACGCCGGCCCAAAACTCCAGCTGCGCCCACACGCAGCTGATGCTCCAGGGTTAACAACAGGCCCCACAAAAAGCTCATGTCTTGCCTAAGCTGCTAACGACCCCAGTGAACCTGACCCACAGGAGGCTGGTAACGAGGAGGCAGTGAAATACCTGTGGACCTTTATTTCTTATGGAAGGAACAACGTCCCTTCCCTAGGACTTGGCTACAGGAAGGTCCCCCCCATTTACAAGAGGTCACACAGAGGAACAAGGATGACAGTAATCCCACACCTGATCAGAAAATAGGGAAGACCACACTACCTAGACACGCATCTGGTGGCTTGGGAGATGCCCTGGGACAACTGCCTGGGCTGGCAGATGTGAGCCAGCCCTGGGACAACTGCCTGGGCTGGCAGATTGGGTCTTCCTGGTCTTGCAGAGCAGAGCTGGAGAGGTCTCTGCACCTGCTAAACATCTGTGTTCAGGTAGCTGCATCTCACCCCTGATATTTTTACTCAAACTGCATTAGTTCTGCAAAATAAGCCCAGAATACAACAGTTTTTAACTCAAACGTGGTCCAACGCTGGGAATTTCTGAGACGTCACCTCCTCCACACAGCATCCCTCCCATCAGAAGCAGGAGTCAGAGTACAGGTCTCACTAGTAAACGTATTTTTTCTTGTTAAGAGCTTCAAATCTTTCAGCACAGAGGATGTGGGCTTTCCAGTGCCGCTAACCTTCACCCCAAAGCCCAGATGGGAGTTAAACGGTGTCAAATGTAACCAAGAGAACAGAGAAGTGACTGAGCAGAGGATGGGATTGCCCCTGGTGAAGGCGTGGTGGGAAGAGGACAAATCCTTTTTCCCCGAGGTGAAAGGAGAGCATCTTTTCTCTAGCCTGTTTCTTAAGGAAATCAAATCCTTAAGACTAACCTCCAATGAGGATTTAGGAGGTATTTTTTGAAAATAAGGTCAGGAAACGAAAGGAAAAAAAGTCATTTTGAAGACCTTGGTTGAAGACAGGTGCCCACCACTGACCCAAATACACAAAGATCCTCACCCAGAGTTTTAAATGCCTTAATGAATCCATGTCTTTCCTCCACCATTCACTGAACAACAAAATGTATCACCAAGAACACAAAAAAACATTTTCTGGTGGAAGACGGCAACAAGCAGGTGCCCTCCCAGCTCAGCTTGGCACTCACCAGCTCCCACGAATCATCCTGTAAAGGATGAAACACATGGACATGTCTTAGCTAGGAAGCAGCGCTAGCAGCCCAGAAGATCAGATCTCACCACGACCACGGCCTGGCTCACCCCGATGGCAGCTTTCAAGACAGGCCATGACACACGGTGGCCCTGGGCACAGGGTCTCACCAGCCTGGCTGGGACACTGGGCACACCGAGCTCGGCCTCCAACCAGCTGCAATCACACAGCGTAGACACCTTGGGGTTGAGTCCCACCGTTAGACTTCGGTGATACAACGCACACAAAGCGGCAATGTTATCGTCTCAGGTTTCTGTTGTAGGAAGACGGACACATGGCTTGAAAATGTCCTGTCCCTCCCCAGGGCTCGCTGGTGCCACCTGTGTCCTGCTTGGCATTGGCCTGAGGAAGCATGGTGACTTCTCACCACCTCCAACCTCCATTCAGTGCTTTGGGGAGAGGAGCCAGGTGACCGACCTGTTAGAGCAGCCTCCCATCAGCCAAGCCCTCTCCATCATCCACGGATACACAGACGCTCTCCCTTCCACTCCACATGCTATCAAGAAAAAAAAGGTATGCTGCAATGTTTGTGCTTTTGATCTCCTTAAGATCCCTTCAGCATCCCCTCTTACAAAGTCTCATACAGCGACAACAAAGGTGCTCTAGGGAAAATTACTTTATTTTCTTTCTTCTTTAGAAACCCTTTTTACAGTTTAAGAAATGAAGTTCTTTTAAAAAATAATCACAATCTCAGGAACAGTCCTATCCACAGCGCCGCGGGCGCTGGGCGTTGCAGGCTTATGGACCTCGCTGTTCAGGTGGGAGCATTGTGAACGCCTCTGATCTGCGCTCCTGGAGTTCAACGGGAGAACACAAACACTCGAGCATGACTGGGTTTTTCTTCCCACCGGCAGCTGACACCTCTGGATCTACATTAAAGCTCTTTCTGCAGCTGGTTCGGTCGGGCTCCTCGGCTGAAAGGCTTCAGCTGGAGCAGGTCAAGCCACCATGCAGCAGACCGAGGTAACAGGGGAGCCCCGTTGTCCGCCGTCCTCCCACACCACAGCCCGCTCACCCCAAAAGGCTGGCTGGGCACAGGGAGGGAGGAGGAGAGCGGCCAGCGCTGCCCCACGCCTGCCCCACGGCAGGCTGCCGAAGGGTGGAAGCCATCGGCAGAGCTGCGGGAGGCTAGCCGGGAAGCGGTAGCGTTGTAGCCTAGTTCAGCCATTCAGCAACTGAAGGCACAACCGGCCATCGGGGGTCTGTCCCGGGTGTTTGCACACTGATCCTTTGCAACTCGTTGGGGACTGCAGCCGACGCGGATGTTGCAGAAACAGAAAGGGAAAGGTCGTCGGCACATGAAGTGGGGATTTTCCCCGACGGAAAACAACCCATCCCCCTCCCATTTAAATGCAATTTTCCAGCCAGGCTGCAGTACCTCCAAACAGAGTGCCAGGCACGGCCCAGGGTCCCCAAGAACAACACCCGGGGTCACGTCACTGGACCTCATGCCTAGACATCACCTCTCCAAACTAAAAGAGTTTGTTTCTTGACACAAGAGATCTCAACCAGATTCAGTTTTCACTTACACCAGATTACCACCTCCACCCAAACCAGCAGCGACACCGTCGACTTGTCCATGTGGAGCGAAGGAAGCCATCTGCTGACACCCAAGCCTGCTGGCCCCCACAGCACGTCCTCACCATCAGCAGGACACTGGACACACACAGCGGGAGCCTAACGGGGCTTCGAAGAATTATATGTGTTGTTTAAGGCTGCTGGGGGAGTGGGGTAAAACTATTCGGAAAATATTCATTGCCAAACCCATGAAGCTGGAAAATATTTGGAGATACCAGAAGTTGCAGACGATATTAAGAGCAGTGCTGTTACATATACCATTCCCAAGCTTCAGCTTCTTGGGGCTGGGGTCTTTACAGCAACTGGCACCAGTGTTTAAAATGCATAAATCTTTGTTACTGTCTGTACAATGATACTTCCAGCAGGGCTCAGGCTTTTAGATCCAGATCCTTCTGCGGTCCCACCTGCACAGATCCAACCAGCCTGTGGCGCTGAAATCCCCTTGGCACTTACCCTTATGGACGCGGAACGTTTTGCTGCCGAGTTGGGCGCCAGCACGTGCCGGGCTCTCCTTGCAGCAGGGCACAGAAGTCAAACGAACGCTCCCCCTCCACATCCAACTCCAAACACTCTCCGCTGTGGAGACCACAGCCACTGCCTCCCTCATCACGCTGCCAGTTACGATAAATTGCTGGCATGCACCATTTGTGATTTATCTTGAGATAGAGAGCATTATAAATATTTTCATCCAAGCAGCCCTAAAAACAGGAGGGAAGGGTTAAATAAAGGCTTTACCCTCTCTCTCAATATCAAACGTCAGAAAAATCTAGGTGAATAGATTCAAAATCGGTGTTAGCCTAGAAACGGAGACCAAAACTCAGCAGCCAGCCAGCCCAGAGTTCAGCGAGCCCCAGCCTAGCCTCAGCACCCAGAGATGTCTCTCGCTTTGTTCTTCCGCTGGTATCTTACATCCAAGGGATCGAACCCCCTTTCTCTGGACCCAAACAGCGCCCAGAGAGGAGTTCTGGCTGCGTAATCGGCCGCTGTGAAAGTCTTGGACCCGCCGCTCCTCTCGTGCTCTTGCACCAGCTCCTGGAAGCGGTCGTAGTTGATCCAGGTGCACCACTCGCCATTGATCTTGAACTGGAAGGAAAAGCAACATGTTACCGAGCCAGGGAGCGATGAGGAGTACCAAATACCACATTTATGCTAAGACAAGCTGGGTGCGTATTAAATTGGTTACCCAGCTGTAGTCTTTTTTTAAATTTTCTAGCCACATTAAGGTCCAGGGTAAAGCCATCCAGAAGCTAATGTAGGATAACTGCTTTAATAGAAAAAAAAAAAAGTCAGGTGGGTGGACAAATACCCAGAACTTACTGTTTCTGAGCCACATTTCATCCACGGGGTTTGACAACACACACAGGTACAGGATGGCCATTTTTCTTACAGCTTTAGTCATTTAGTGCGCTCTCCTAGCAGGTAATCTCCATGAGGGTTTGACTGTTGGGTGCTTTGCCCGACCCTTCAAAGTAGCAGATCCTACCACCACTTCAGCCCCACTTTGCCAGGAGGAACGCTTCCAGGGTGCACCCCAAAGCTTTCCCAGGTGTGTCTGCACTTGCCAGGTGTCACTTATACCTGAAAGACCTTGGTTTAGGGAACTGGAAGAGCCCTGGAAGAAACATGTAAATTTGAGAGCGATGCCCAGGTACCCCTTGATGAAGGGACCTTTCCAAGGTCAAACAAAGCCCCTGTTCAGAGCGTGTGATGCCGACTCCAGGGCAGCCACAGCCTGGCAAAATGGTACGGGAGCAGCACCAGAGCCGTGTGCTGTGGTGACTGGGATGGATTTGAGTGATTCTTGAAAGGGGCAAGAGAGCTGTGTTTGGGAACAGGGGAAGATAAAAAAAAAAAGTTTAATGACATGAATCCTCTTTCCATGTGAGAATTTTAAGAATTGCTTATTTTGACAAGCTGAAGCTGCATTTGTCTACCAGACCTGCTCTGCTAATTTAGCAACAGCCTTGACTGAATCCTCAATTAGGATTTATCTGAGCTAAAAGCTTATTATGCACTTCATCCAAAAAAAAAAAAAAAAAAGGGAAACAGACTGACTCCCTGTTTTTTTTTTTCAAAAACCTGATGGTTATGCATTTAAAATGGCACTTGCACTTGACTTTCTGCCCAAGAGCTAAAAGCTTTTTTGGTTGGAAAAACTGCTCACACCTGCAAAATTTTGCAATCAAACATTGCTAATGCTAACCCATTGCTGCCTGCGTAATTACAGTGAATTCTTGCAGGAGTCGTCCTCTGCACGGAGCGGAGATGTGAGACTGCAGAGTCATAACAGAGGGGAACAAGCCTCGCCGTAAATAAACTCGCCCAGCGCTCATTCTTCATACACTAAGGCGGAGGCCATGTTTCACCAAGGCGACACGTCCTTTCCAGCGTGCGCGTCCGCAAGTAAAGCAATAGCAGAGGAGACAACGTATCGCCTGTAAAGCGGCAGGTCCCAAACAGGATCCAGGCTCAGGAGACCTGAACTTCCCTCCCAGTAAGTGTGGAGGTGCTAGGTGAGAACTTCACACCATGCGCAAAACTCCCTGCTCCCCCCAAATTTGATTCGCTAACACTCAGCAAATTCTCGCACAAATTAAGGGCAAAAAAACCCAACCCACAGGATCCAGCAAAGCCTTTAACACACATGGCACATGGGAGAGTTGTTTAGCACACGAGCTGTTGAGCTTATTCCCATGACGGGTACGGAGCACTCCTAACACGTCAGATGGGTCCCTAGATAGCCTTGAGGCCAACTAAAAGAAACCTAGCACATAAAGAACAAAAAAGCTGCCGAGACTTGAACTCAGCTGAATAGGTAGGTCGGTGAAGCCCATTTCCTTGAAAACCAACGGGATGCTCTAATCTCAGGGTGGAAGGGGGAGCTTGCAATGAGCCATTAACCCTGTGGTCAAGAGTGGCTCAGCAAGAGCACCAAAGCCACAGGAGATGCTGGTGCCACCCAGACCAGCTGAAACGAGGGTATGGACTGCAGCCACCACCCCCAACCCAAACACTGGCGTAGATATCTGCCCCTCCAGAATCTTAAAGCTAGAAACTGCACGAAAACAGTGTACTATTACCTGTAGGAGATAGAGAACTATTTCTAGACTATTTCTAGAAGAAGCCCCGCTCACACCATTGCTGTGTCAAACCAGTCCATGGTGATGCAGCTGCACTCACAACCGGTTTAATTGGCAATGGGTGGGTAAAAAAAAAAAATCACCATCCTATGAATGGGCTGGCATCAGTGCTGGTGCTTCCATCATCCACAGCAGCTTCAACATCAGTATAACACTGTCACTGCCCAGCCGAGGGCAGAAGCGGTCCCGTACAGGGATGAGAGTCTGACATGAGTTTCTGAGACACAATTGGATGGTTTCTCTCTTTTTAGAAGCAAACTATTCCCCGCCCCCCCCCCGCATAATCCCTTGGCTGCCGTGGCTGTATCTCACCACATAAGCTGTTCTTCCATGGAGTTCGTGACCTTTGATGAGGCTAGCGGCAGAAGGAAATAAAACCGAAGATCTCCCAGCACCAGTCCCAAAAAGCCCCCGTCACCTGGAGCTGGGCAGCACAGCTGTCAGAGGCCACCCGAGGAAGCACGCAGCGGAGTGAGCAAGGACGCAGCTGGCCCAAAGGCAGCGTGCCCAGACCCGCCGGCTTTCGGGTTGTGCTCCTGAGCAAGGTGGGATGCTGAGAGGTGGTTTGGTGAGTGGCTGGAAGGGACCCCTGCCCTCTCCTCCCCTCAACGCTCGCTCCCCTTAGCATAAAGCACTACGTATGCTTTCCTGGGGAGAAAACCGCTGCCTTGCGGGATACAGCCCTCCAGGCCTGCATAAACCACGTGCGTTGCTCTGCGCCCTGAACTTTGGCTAGGTCACCAAAGCGAGATTTTTAAGCTATTTAATTTTGACTCCATCTGAACACGCAGCTCCTGACACAACGGAGCTATTAAGGCCAGGAGCCGCCTCCTGCAGATTAAGGTGACAGTACCCTTCCCACCAGAACAACCAAACGAAGGCTGCCTGGGACTCATTACAAAAGCAGATTAAATAATATTAAATACTTTTAGTGCTGCAATAGCACAGCTATAAAACACAAAGAAATGGGAGCAATCCTTTAAATGTGTCTTGGAAAGCAATTACTTCTGCTGAGGAATAAAAAACAGACAAACATGGGGTGGGGGAGAACAGCCTCAATTGCCCACAAGATTTACAGATTGGATTTTAACAATTTTGTGATTATTCCCTAGATAACAGAAGATTTAAGACTCAAAATAGTTTCACAACACCCATATAACAGGCGAGCCAATGCTAAACATCGGTGTTATTTCAGACTAATGCGGTCAGGTTTTTTATTGAATTTTTTACTACCTGGTTAAGTCTTTTAAGGTGATAAATACATCGACAAGAGACAAATGGCTGAAACCCTTCCCTCATTGTTTTTTTTTTTAAGCTAGCATCATTAAAAAAAAGTGATAAAGCTCAGTCTTTTAAGGTGATAAATACATCGACAAGAGACAAATGGCTGAAACCCTTCCCTCATTGTTTTTTTTTAAGCTAGCATCATTAAAAAAAGTGATAAAGCTCCTTCAGCTGGCTCTGAAGCCAGGCTGTGTTGTCCAGAAAGACAAACTCGCCCTCAGAGGGCTTTGCTCAAGCAGTGAGATGACACGGGAGCCAGCGCACGCCTTCCCCTTAGAGCTCGTGCTCCCAGGGTCCCTGAGCTCTGGTCCCCAGGCTCCAGTCCCCATGGTCCCACCACCGATTGCTCCCTACAGACGTGGCACTGGTGCACAGCAATGCAAAACCTGCCTGATTTCTGCAGATCCTACAGCCAGAGCAAGGAGCGCTGCCCCGAGCAGGCATTAATGCTGGGAAAACAAGAGGCAAAGGAAGCGAGAGGGAACTTGTAATGGCCTTCAAGCCCAGAAAAGCGCATCCAGGCGTGACGCTGGACACCACTGGGGACATTTGTCAGGGGGTTACGCACCTCTGCCAGGAACGGCATGGCTGGACCCAGGGGAGCCACAGGGCAATGGTGCAAAAGGACGGAGCTACCTGCCCGGGGCTGTGTTGTCCATGGACATGGCCAGTCCCTCAAACAGTCTATAGCAAAACTAATATATGTACTGCAAAGACAACCAGGAGCCAGGACTAAAATGGAGAGCCAAGTTACCTGGGAGCATCAACAGAGCGCGGTTAACACCTCCCTTTTCTCTTATAACTCACAAGAGCGGATATGAACAGGAAATTTCTTTAAATTATCTTTTGCAGTCGGGTTACAGCTGCTCTGACTGCAGAGAGAGAAGCTTCTTGCTACAGAAAGCTATCAACATTCATGAAGGAGAAGAGCCACACTACATATTTCTTTTCTTATCAACATATTTGCATAAGCAATTTTTGGGGGGTAAAAACATATGCATATATTGAGGACAATACAGCAGTACAATTTACTACATTCCTCCAGACATGCATAATTGCCGAGAAATAAACACAGGGTTTATACGAAAGGATAAAATATAGAAGAGAGGCAGGGATGGTGACACATGAAACACTAACACTGAAAAATGGAAATCAGCCAAAAATCAATTAGTTTGTCCTAACAAGGATAATGTTGTATTTTCTTCAGAGAAAGACACACTGAAACAAGGAGGCTCCTCTTCATCCATCCACTCTGGTCCTTCTCTACAAAAAAATTTCATGTATTTTCAGAAAAGGACTAAATAGTATGGGCTACATAAGGGCATAAAGCAGAGCAGTGGGGCAAAGCCTGCTGTGGCTCCTTGCAGTCCTCATCCTCGCAGAGCAAACCCTGGGTTGGGAGGACAGAGTCCGACCCCGATGGGGAGAGGACCCATGGGAAACCTTTCTCCGATGAGCTGTGTTGCAACACAGCATCCCCGAGGAGCAGAGGGAAGACTGGGAAGAGAAAGCAGAGCTTTGGGTCTTGCAACAGCTACTCTAATTACTCAAGGACATGAAGATTTAGTAGTCCAACAAATGGATTCTTCCCCAGGCAGACGCACAGGGTTTAATGGTTAAATACAGCAGTTTTATGCGCAGTTTTAAAGACCACACAAA